TGCATGAGACAAGTGCTCGGGCCTGGTGCACTGGGAAGACCCAGAGGGATCGGGTGGAGAGGGAGGTGGGAGGGGGGACCGGGATGGGGAATACATGTAAATCCATGGCTAATTCATTTCAATGTATGACAAAAACTACTGTAATGATGTAAAGTAGTTAGCCTCCAACTAATTAAAAAAAAAAAAAGAAAGAAAGAAAAGGAAAGACATACCCATTTGAATGCAGAGTTCCAAAGAATAGCCAGGAGAGATAAGAAAGCCTTCCTCAGTGATCAATGCAAAGAAATAGAGGAAAACAATACAGTGGAAAAGTTTCTAAAGTAGATTACAGGTATCATGTCATTCTACACTAAATAGTAATTTCTTAATACTGGCTATAACTCCGTCTATTCAGATGTCTTCAGTTGTCCTAAAAATGTCTTTTATAACCTGTTTTACAAAGTAGGATCTTAGTTTTGTAACTGGGCATTGCATCTAGTCCAGTGTTCCTTGTCTTTCAATCTAGAATATTTCCTTTTTTTTTTCCCCATGACTATGACTTGCTGGAAAGGTTAGGCTTTCTTTTCCAGTAGAATTCCTTGTCATAGATTACAACATAGGTGATGTGTATACTTCATGTTGCAATGAGAGAAATACAATATTGTTACCCAACCATTGCCAATGCTAAAATCTTCTTTGTGAAGATAAAGCAGACGTGTTGGATTAGGGAGATGACAGTGTGATCCCTTCATTGTCATGTTACATTTCCTTTCTTGTTCCTAGTCTATTAATACTTCATTGCTTTGTATAAAAAATCTTTTTCTTACTTTAACCCTATAAAATCTAGGCCCCATCAACCATTCATTTAATAGTTTTGTAGCTGAATTTGTAATTTTATTGGGAATTGCAAAATGATGATTTTCTAGTTCTTTCATCCCATATCCATTTATTAACTTGCATTCTTATGTGAAATACAGGTTTTCTTCATCAGTGGAGCTATTTAGTTAGTTTAATAAGAGATGCTTAAATTTTTTGCTTTTAATTTCCACATTTGGTTGATTTATTAGCTACTGAAGTGGGGACAGATAAATGTTTTGGGGGGTATCATTATAAGCTCATGGATTTTTAAAAGCATAATGGGTGAGGGTGGGATGTTTCGAGAGAACAGCATCGAAACAGGTATATTATCTAGGGTGAAACAGATCACCAGCTCAGGTTGGGTGCATGAGACAAGTGCTCGGGTCTGGTGCACTGGGAAGACCCAGAGGGATCAGGCAGAGAGGGAGGTGGGAGGGGGGATCGGGATGGGGAACACATGTAAATCCATGGCTGATTCATGTCAATGTATGACAAAAACCACTACAATATTATAAAGTAATTAGCCTCCAACTAATAAAAATAAATGAAAAAAAACATAATGGGTCCTAATTAATTTGTGGTAGTTACTCTTTTTTTCACATTCAAATTATCACACCTTTGTCCAATAAGGACTCAGGTGATACCTTTCAAAATTCTCTAGTTTTTAGCGGAGTTGTGACAGGGAACAAATTTAGATATGTATCCAGATCATATTGATGAAGAAGCTAGTGGATGGCTGAAATACCTGTGTTAGCAGAATCGTACACCAGAGATAGTAGGTATTATAGGAAAAATAGAGATGGGGCCAACCTAAAACCTACCTAAGTTTGTAACTTGAATAATTTTAGGAACTTTAAAATCTCAATAAAAATATTAGCACAGTTGAATTCCTAGTAAATAAACACTATAGTATAGAGGACATATAGGACTTATCTTTAAAAATTGGTGAAGATAGCTTAAAGGACGGGTATAAAAGGGTTGAGGCTTTGGTGACATGTGCAGAACACATAAATATCAGAGAAGATGGTGTAGTAAACACTTTCAAGTCATAGCACATGGCCAAAATGAGCCAAGAAGAATGAAGGATGGGTGTCATTTTCAGTCCCGTATTCCTTGAAGTGTCCAGCCCAGGTTCTCCTGTGTTACTGTTCTTTACTATCAGCTTCTCTTAAGTTGGTGCCAAAGCATTAGCTAATAAAGGAATACTGAGTGAACAAGCATCATCTGTGCATTGACATCCTTTTTCTGTATGATAATTGCTTACGAGCTAATTCACATTATCAAATACGCTTTGATAACAGGTTTTATTTCTTTTTTTAAATTTTAAATTAATCTATAACTTACAGAGAAGTTCCAAGTAATACAAATAATTTTCCCCGTGAACTATTTCAGAGTAAGCAGCTAACATATTCTACATCACCATTATTAATTTAGTGAGTTCTTCCCACAACTAGGACATTTCTCCTGTATAATCATAATCAAGAAATGAGCATTGGTACATTACTACCATTTAATTCTCAAATGTCACGTTTCAATAGTTGTCCCAGTAATGTTCTTTACAGCATAAAGATCCAGTCTAGAAGCACAGGTTTCTTTTAGTTGTCGTGATTCTTCAGTTTCCTTCAGTGTTAGTAATAGTCCCTCAATTTTACTTTGACCTTCTTGACCTCGGTTGTATTGAAGATTGCAAACTTTTGTAGAATATCCCCCATTGTTGATATGTTTACTTACAAAGTTATTCTTGTTGGTAGGAATATTATATAAATGATGCTGTGTTCTTCTCACTGCATCCTCTCAGGTGGCCTGAGATTTTGATTTGTTCCATTTTTGGTGATGTTAACTTTGATCACTTGATTAAGGTAGTGCCTGCTAGACATCTCTACTGAAATACTGTCTTTGTAATAGTATTTTGTATGTATGGGGAGTATGTACTTTGAGACTATGTAAATATGCTTTCCTATTCAAACTTTAAAGTTTAAATTTAATTATATGAGGATACAGCCCTGTTTTAGTCAATGTATTATGATCCATTACTATCATTATTTGTTTTGTTGCTCAGATTGACTCATTTTTCTAGTGGAGCCCTGGATTCTGCATCCTTTTGGCATTTCCCCAACAATCTTGAAGTTCTTCCCTACCTTCTAGCATGATGCGATGTTCTGAATTCATCTTCTTGTACTTTCTCTGCACTAGCCTTGAAATCAGCAGTTTCTCCAAAGTACACTAGTTCTTTTGCATAGAGAATAGTTTTTCAGAAAGCAAGATAAGGGAATATACATGTGTATATACACATTTACATCTCTACTACTTTGTAAATCTATTTATATTAAAACCATTAGGGCGCCTGTTGTCATCTCCAGTCCTAATGTAATACAACAGGGTTTGTTCTCTCTCCTTTTTCATATAAATAACTCCTTTGTCTGAAGTAAGAAATCTGACTTCCGTTTATTTTTAGCAGGTTTGCTTATATGCTCAGTCCCCCTGTATGTGACCAGTATGCTTTCTCCGCTGCCGTTTCCCACCTGCCAGACTTAACACCTCACACTGGGCGGCCCTACCGCTTGGTGCTTCCTCTCTGTCTTCAGGCTCTCGTTTCCTCTGTTGGACTGTCTCCCTACGCAGAGACCCTCTTCTCCTGCTTGGGAACCAACAGCCTCCCTGGGGTCACTCTCATCTGAGGGTATGCTCCTCGCCCAGCTCAGTCCTCTCTGTAATACCATATCCCCATGCTTTCTTTGCCTAGCCACGCTTAACGGCTGTTGAATTGTTTTCAAGATGGGCAAGATTATATTTGTGTGAATTCTGTTCTAGAATACTGGCTTATTAAAGTTGAAATGTTTTTAAACCAAAAGACTTTTTAGGCTGTATGTTTATTTGCATAGGATCCCCAAACTCTGTTTTTGTACTTGGTCATTATTGGTATAGTCTTTGCTGTGCACTTAAAAAATTAGTTTTTTGCTTATCTGCCACCTTTTGCTTTTCTCCTATTTTCTCATGAGCTTTTAGACATTGTGTGTCATATTGTTGATTCACTCTGTAATTATAATTATGCAGTTGATCTGTTCTTTAGTAAAAGGCCATACCATTTTCAGTAATTCACTGCATTAATTGAAACAACTTGCTTGCAGTTCATTGAATACCTTGGAAAAACTTGGTATAAAATAGTATTTATTTTATTCTTGAGTCTTAATAGTTTCATGCGTACTCTCTCTGTCTCTCATCCTGCATGCTAAATTCCTGTTCCTCTTTCTCTTTGCCTTTTTATCTTGTACATACAACCATTGTGTTATTTTTTTATTATTAATGTATTTCTCCGTATAAGACTAAAGGCAGATCCTGTATATTTTCATTCTTGAACCCCCAGTGTTTAGAACAGTGCCCTTCTTAGGCCCATAATAGGCCTTCAGATTGTTGATTGGAAGCTTTTGTTTGGAGCATGTAGTGTGCAATATAGTATTACAGTCCTTTTTTGTTTTTCTAAATCTTAATTCTTTTAGAAGCTGGATAAGAAATCGTCTCCATCCACAGGGAGCCTGGATTCTGGAAATGAGTCGAAAGATAAGCTGTTAAAAGGAGAAAGTGCATTGCAGCGAGTCCAGTGTATACCAGGGAACGCCAGCTGTTGTGACTGCGGTCTGGCAGACCCACGGTGGGCCAGCATCAACCTGGGCATCACCTTGTGCATCGAGTGTTCTGGGATCCATCGGTGAGTATGCCCACCTGGGGTGAGAGACTTCTTCTGGTTCAACACACGTAAGTTCTTGTGTCCGAATGGCTTGAGGACTTTCCCTCCTGCCTAATTTGGCTGCCAGTTTGTGTCTTTGTACCTTTTATGAACTGGATAAAATTCTGGTTTGTGAAGTGATTTTGAGGACTTTGATTCACCATTAACGAGAAGATCTATCCCTATTTATATATGTGTTGAGGGCTATATTAGAGACTGTGTCACATTAAGATAGAATAATAAACTTGCATAATGTGCAAATAGAGACTTGAAAGTTTTATATATATTGATGCAGTCTTTTCTTTTTCCGACTTAGGAGTCTTGGAGTTCATTTCTCAAAAGTGCGATCTTTAACTTTAGATACTTGGGAGCCTGAACTTTTAAAGGTAAAATAAATATTTGCTTTAAAATATTTTATGTTTTCACATAAAAGGCAAGATTTTTAAAATTTATTTATTCTTTTGCCACTTGGCTATGCAGGATCTTAGTTCCCCAACGAGGAATCAAACCTGTACCCTCTGCAGTGAAAGGGCAGAGTCCTAACCACTGGGCCACCAAGGAGTCCCCAAAAGTCAATATTTTAGAATCTGGGTTTGCAAATGTATGAGTTTCTCAATGCTAACAGTGAATTAAATTGTATTGGAATATATCTGATGTTATTTTGGCAAATCTGTTGTTTTCTTACTGGTTTTTTTTTTTTTAAGTTCTAAGTTTAAGTAGCACTCTTTTTTTTTTTCCATTTTTTTTTATTAGTTGGAGGCTAACTACTTTACATCATTGCAGTGGTTTTTGTCATACATTGAAATGAATTAGCCATGGATTTATATGTATTCCCCATCCCAGTCCCCCCCTCTCACCTCCCTCTCTACCCTATCCCTCTGGGTCTTCCCAGTGCACCAGGCCCGAGCACTTGTCTCATGCACCCAACCTGGGCTGGTGATCTGTTTCACCCTAGATAATATACATGTTTCGATGCTGTTCTCTTGAAACATCCCACCCTCGCCTTCTCCCAGAGTCCACAAGTCAGTTCTATACATCTGAGTCTCTTTTTCTGTTTTGCATATAGGGTTATCGTTACCATCTTTCTAAATTCCATATATATGTGTTAGTATACTGTAATGGTTAAGTAGCACTCTTAATTGTATGTCAGTTCACTTTCAAGGAAACTAGCACCCATGCATTTTTATGTTTTCTCAAAAATTAGATTCTGTGCCTTAATTTTAATATTTTGTAATTATATAAATTTTTATTAAGAATATGAGATATTGTCATAGTGAGCTGCATAACAGATTGGTATATCATGTTATTATTGCATTATTTTAGCATAGGCACATTTGAAAATTTACATTTGTCAGGGGTAGTAGTCATCAAACTAAGACATCCTTTTTCCCTGTGTAAGGATTCGTATCTATGAAAGTGTCATAAATAATTTTAGATCACAACTGGGTTTTTAATAAGTGAAAGTAAAGTCGCGCAGTCGTGTCCAACTCTTTGCGATTGCATGGACTCTATAGTCCATGGAATTCTCCAGACCAAAATACTGGAGTGGGTAGCCTTACCCTTTTCCAGGGGATCTTCCCAACCCAGGGATAGAACCCAGGTCTCTCCCATTGCAGGCAGATTCTTTACCAGCTGAGCCACCAGGGAAGCCCAAGAATACTGGAGTGGGTAGCGTATCCCTTCTCCAGATCTTCCCAACCCAGGAATCGAATTGGGGCCTCTTGCATTACAGGCGGATTCTTTACCATCTGAGCTACCAGGAAGCCCAAGACTTTCAAAATTTATACTGATTGATAGTGTACCCATTTTAATTCCCACTGTTCAGTTTACCTGTTGTAAAAAATGTTAGCTTAAAGGTTGTAGTGTATTCTACATTTATTTCTGTCTGAAAATTTTATTTCTTAATGCATTTGTGTTTTTATTTTAATCCATAGATAAACTCACAATCCTTTTATTTATGTAAAGTAAAAAAGTTTTCTTTGTGGAATTATTGTGTAAACCTCTAAATGGAAGCGATAAGTTGGCTCATATGATAGAGCCTTATTTCTATAGATTCTATAAATTGATATGAATTCAAAGGAGAAGTAAGTGGGGAGTGGGAGCTAGAAATCTAATTTCTGCATCAACTGTGGGTAGATATGAACTCAGTGGATTCGTTTTAGAAATTTTGGTTGAAACACATCTGTCTGATACTTTTTAAAAATTATTGAAGCAATATTTAGAGACCCGGTCGCCATGTCCACGGGGAGCGCGACACATCCTGGAGCCGGCGGGGGCCGCAGCAAATGGAACCAACCAGCTCCAGCCCCCCATCTGTTTTTGCCACCGGCGACCCCAGGCGGGGAGGTTACCAGCAGTGGGGGAAGCCAGGGGGGCTCTACAGCTGCACCCTCTGGAGCCTTGGATGCTGCTGCTGCTGTGGCTGCCAAGATCAATCCCATGCTCATGGCCAAAGGAAAGTTGAAACCAACTCAGAATGCTGCTGAGAAGCTTCAGGCCCCTGGCAAAGGCCTAACTAGCAATAAAAGCAAGGATGACCTGGTGGTGGCTGAAGTAGAGATCAATGATGTGCCTCTCACTTGTAGGAACTTGCTGACCCGAGGACAGACTCAAGATGAGATCAGCCGATTTAGTGGGGCTACAGTGTCAACTCGAGGGAGGTTCATGACAACTGAGGAGAAGGCCAAAGTAGGACCAGGGGATCGTCCATTGTATCTTCATGTTCAGGGCCAGACACGGGAATTAGTGGACAGAGCTGTAAACCGAATCAAAGAAATTATTACCAATGGGGTAGTGAAAGCTGCCACAGGGACAAGTCCAACTTTTAACGGTGCAACAGTCACTGTCTATCACCAGCCAGCACCCATTGCACAGCTGTCTCCAGCTGTTAGCCACAAGCCTCCCTTCCAGTCAGGGGTATGTTTTATGGAGATATCATTAACAGTGTTATCANAGAGAGGGACAGGCAGTTGATGCCTCCACCAGCCTTTCCAGTGACTGGAATAAAAACAGAGTCTGACGAAAGGAATGGGTCTGGGACTTTAACAGGGAGTCATGATTATCCAGTCAAGAAAATGAAAACTACAGAGAAGGGGTTTGGCTTGGTGGCTTACGCTGCAGATTCATCTGACGAAGAGGAGGAACACGGAGGTCATAAAAATGCAAGTAGTTTTCCACAGGGCTGGAGTTTGGGATATCAGTATCCTTCATCACAACCACGAGCTAAACAACAGATGCCATTCTGGATGGCTCCATAGGCAACAGTGGAGCAGAGATTTGAGCCTTGGTGACTCTCTAGCAATAATGCATGCGTTTGATTTAATAAGACTCTGGGGCCTGTACGGGGAACCATCTTGGACTTTTGCAGAAGTCAGTGATGGGGGAGAGAAAAAGTCAGTGATGAGTGTGCCCTTTCTTAAAGGGTTTCCATTCTTTTTTAAAGAAAATCCTTATTTCTGCAGTGACATAGCATCTGTTAAAATTTACTTAGAATTACAAATTTGTCTCAAGCTTTTTAACAGTTGGTGAAATGTGCTTGTTCAACAGAGTCATTTCAGTATACCCTTGACCTGGTCCAGTCTTTTTCAAATGAATAGCCCCTATTCTGACATAAAGCAAGTTTTATTTGTATTTTACTACTGTTTGATCAATTTTGATAAAAACTGGTTCCAAACAAAGCCTTACTATTTATTAGTGGGGAAATGATTTTAAGACCATCCTTTCCTTTCAGCACTTAAATCTAAAAACCTCCTCATCCCTATTTCATTTTTTTGGATTCTTTGTTTTGGAAAATGCAGTTTTACTAATGCAGAACTGTTGGATATAGCTGAATCCTGGGATATTGAAGGATTTTTTCCATTGGGATTATCCAAAGCTGGTACCTTTCAGGCACTCTTGTCTCAGATAGCCATTGCTGTTTTTACTGCCCGTCTAAGCTCCTTGTCTTCAACTGGGTCTGAGAAAATTACTTGATCAAAAGCTGGTCAGAACTCATCACAGAAATGACATCCAATGGTCTGTCTCTCTGAGAACTGGTTGCAGCTAAAAATAGAGAGATTTGACTGCTTGGAATAGAATGGTGGACTTAGTGACTGAAATTGCAACTTGTCCTTTTTCTTGGCATTACAGGTTTTGCCAAAAGAACTTTTTTGTATCAAATATTGATGTGTGAAAGTGAAGGAGCTAGTCTGCTGAACCAGGAGTAGTTTGAGATACTGAACTGTCATTTTTGCACATTTGAATACTTTGCAGACTGGCTTTGTATAAACGTATCCTCTGGTTTCCTATATGTTGTAAATATTTAGATCATAATTTCATTATAAATAAATGTATAAATATTCTGAAAAAAAATATTGAAGCAATATTTAGAAATGTAAATAAAATCTAAGGAGAAAATGTGTGTGTGTTAGTCATTCAGTTATGTCCGAATCTTTGCAACCCCATGGACTATATATAGCTTGCCAGGCTCCTCTCTCCATGGTATTCTCCACGCAAGAGTACTGGAGTGGGTTGCCATTTCCTTCTCCAGGAGATCTTTCCTACCCAGGAATTGAACCTGGGTCGCCTGCATTTCAGGCAGATTCTTTACTCTCTGAGCCACCAGGGAAGCCCAGGGAGAAAATAGTTTGTTTCAGTTCTGAGTTGTTTAAAGCTTAACCTATCTGGACTTAGGCTTCTTTTTTTCGGTTAACTTAGCTGATGTTGTGAGTATATAGCCTTGTGCTAACCACAGTGGAGGAAAAGAACTCTGGCAGAGGTTGTGTGAGGAGAAACCCTGTCTTAAAGAGTAGTAATCTTCTAGGGCAGGTGAAAAATGGAAAAATGCTGATAAGGCTCTCAGTCCTCGTTTCATTTTAACTTTCAGTATCATTGTGATATATGCATTTTCAGAAGTTGCAAAGAATTAGGTATTTGCTTAAGGATTAATATAGTATTTTTTAGGAAATTATAGCTTATTTTCTGTCTTTCTGCCAAACAGCTTATGTGTGAGTTGGGGAATGATGTTATAAATAGAGTTTATGAAGCTAACTTGGAAAAAATGGGAATAAAGAAACCACATCCAGGACAAAGGTACTATTTCAGTTGTGTTAAAATGTTACTTCATTCCCTCCCATCTTGAATATAGCTATTATTTTATTTCCCTTTAATTGATATGTAATATTGAAACAGAGTAGTTCAGAGAGATCATTACTGCTTTGGTTAAAATGTGGCTGTTTCTATCTTGGGTTTGTTAATTAGATTGTATTTTATAGTTAGATAATAAATTATAATCTTTAGATGAGAGAGAAACTTAAAAATTAAGGCTCTGGAAAGGAATATAAAACCTCTTACTTGCAAGTAAAGTAGACAAAGTTCTATTAGTTGCAGGCCTTTAAAAAGAGATAATCTGTTCATTAATGTCTCCAAGGGTCAAGTTTTTATACCTACAATGAATAATTTTTGCATTTTTGACTTCGTTTAGCAAATACTTGTTAATTACATATTTCCTACATTGCATTTTTATATTGAAGGATTACAGTCGAAAAGGGTGACTTCTGGTAAGGGAGCGTACTTACTTAATTGCTGTGTTTTAAGTTTTACTTCCAGTCCTGTTCATGGAGACTTATTGAATGAAGTGGCAAAGAGTGCCTTCAATGTGGATAATTAGTTTTGTTGTTCATATTATTTTTACTGTTTCTATTTCTTTATATTAGATATTAAAACTTTGCCATAATCCTATATTTGACTATATCTTTATGATAATTAATATTTTTTAAAGTTACTGCTCTCTAAACCAATACCATTTAAATCGATTCTTATTTTTGTGCAAAACCATAGTGTTTGAGTTATCTCAGCCCTTGAGATATCCTATTTTAGCCAAAGACTTAGGCATTTTAGAAAGATGTGGGTAGGAAAAGGTATAGAAGAAACTTGACAAGTTTTATAGTTGTATCACAAATCAAAAATTTTAAGTGTGATACCTTTTTTGGTCCTCTTTAAGTTAAAAATGCTGTATTGTGTTAAAGTAGTTGTCTTATGAAAACTTATGGTCATGACTAGTGATAATTCAGTGTGTGACATTATTTATTGGAGTAAAAATAAAATTGAAGTTAATTTCTATAAATTTTAATGGTGTTTTGGTATTGTTTTTCATTCTTTAAAAAGCAACAGGGAATATGTTTAGAAATGAATGAGCATAGAAATGAAGAGAATAAGAATGCTATGTTAATACTTGTGACTTTTAGTTGGTTGATTATTTATATTCATTTAAACATGAAATCATAGTTCATTAAATATTTGGAAGGAAAACATGTTGCAGAATGTTGCAAATACATGAAACATTTTAACTAGTATTATGTTCAGTGACTTTCTTTGAAAAATTCAGTATGTAATGACTTCTTTTCACTATTGGCCATGCTAAGAGATTAAGCAGAACATCATGACATTTTTATATATACCAACCAGACAGGAGAAAGAGGCGTATATCAGAGCAAAATATGTGGAGAGGAAATTTGTGGATAAATACTCTATGTCATCATCACCTCCTGAGCAGGAAAAAAAGATTGTCTCCAAAAGTTGTGAAGAAAAGAGGCTGAGCATTTCTAAACTTGGGCCAAGTGAACAAATTAGAGCATCTCCTCAGAGTTCAGGTATTACAGTTTATTTGTTGTTTGTATAAGTCGCTTTCTTAATTTCTGAATTAGTAGCTGTTGTAGATTTTTTAAATGCTGAAAACACATCTTCTATATACACTAAGGAAAAATTGGATTTCTCTGTCTTTAAAATAGTTAAATATAAACAGTGTCCTGGTAATTCACATTCCTACATACAGTTGACCCTTGAAAAACTCAGGGGTTGGGGTACCAACTCTCCACTCAGTTGAAAATTTACCTGTAGTTTTTAGTTGGCCCTTCACGTATGTGCTGCCTCCATATCGTCTCTGCAGTTCCTCTGTATCACTGGTTCCGCATCCGTGAGTTCCACCAATCCCAGATCATGTGGTACTGTAGTATTTTGTAATGAAAAAAAATTTGTGAATAGGTGGACCACGTAATTTAAACCTGTGTTGTTTAAGGGTCGACTGTAATGTGTCTATTCTAGGGAATAAAACTGCTTAAAATGCAAGGGGAGATGGGAATTACAGATCTATCATGCAAAAAGCCCTAAATATCTGATTTACCACCTAATATCCTTCCTGTTTTTTCCTCCTAAATTTTTCCCAATAACGTTTTTTCCTGCCCTCTTCCCTTCTTATGGCCTGCTTTGTGCTTTGCTAACTTGCATGTCCCCAGTGGTTGCTGTAAATAGCGACGAGGCCAGGCGGGAGTCTCTCTTCTGTCCTGATGAGCTAGATTCACTCTTCTCCTACTTTGATACTTCTTCAAAACTACGTAGTAGTAAGTACTACTCTTGTGGAGCATTCCAAGTCTGTGCCAGTGGTCATTGTGTGGTGTGGCCATTTCTCTAGATGTTACCCATTGTCTCAGAATTGCCCATTGCTTACCATCATATGATAAATTAACTCTTTACTGTCCCTGACACATTCTGGGGTAATGAGAATGAGATATGTTACGACTCTGAAAATAAGTTTATTTCTAGGCTTCATGGTTGATTCATATTTTGATAAGTGAAGTGTACCAAAGAATTAAAATTGTGAAAAGTTTATTCTGGTGGTGGCTGAATTCATGTTGATGTTTCAGAGCTCATTTTAAAATCTCGTTGTTTGTGGGACTTTTTTCTTAATGGTTCAAAACTTTAATCTCTAGTTGGTTTTTCTTTAAAACAGTCAAAAGTAATGACAGTGGAATCCAGCAGAGCTCTGATGATGGAAGAGAATCTTTACCCTCCACAGTGTCAGCCAATAGTTTGTATGAACCTGGTGAGTTTCGTGAAATTCAGTGTTAATTTGTATTGTTTGCTGAAAAATGCATGTGAAATGTGAAATGCCAAGTCTGATTGAATAGTTTCTAAAGGAAGTGGTTAATTTTTTAGAAGGTACTAAGGGGCAGTTAATACTGCTGAATGAGAGAGCAGCTATTTCTTTCCATATTTGGAAGTTCTTTCCTAGCTGTGTATTTTTCTAAGCCTCATGACATGTGTTGCAAGTAACTTGTCAAAACTAAAGGTAATTTTTAATGCATGTGAACTGTATGTCTTATCTTTTGGGGGACTGTCTTTTTTCATATATAATTTTATATATTTATTTTTGGCTGCACTGGGTCTTCATTGCTTTCTTTGCGCGGGCTTTCTTCTAGTTGCGGTGAGTAGGGCCTGCTGTCTAGTTGAGGTGCGCAGGCTTCTCAGTGCAGTGGCTTCTCTTGTTGCAGAGCACAGGCTCTGGATCTAGCCGCTTGGGCTTTCTTAGTTGCAGCTTGTGGGCTCCAGAGCACAGGCTCAGTAGTTGGGGCACATGGGCATGTGTGCTTCTCGGCATGTGGAATCTTCCCAGACTGGGAGTCGTACCCCTGACCCCTGCGTTGGCAGGTGGTTCCTACCCTCCTTGTAAGAGGAAAGTCCCTGGCTGTCTTTTCTTGTCAGGAGAAAGAGATCAGCAAATCCACTCTCCATCCCACAACCCCCACCGCCCCACCACCCAATTAGGTTTTTCTTCTAACTTGTGCTTTCCTCCTATATTCTCTCCTTTATGATTTCAGCGGTTTTGACTTTGCAGAACACTCGATAGAAAGTGTCTTTATGTTATTTGAACTGCTTGTACTGCAAATTGTGATGGTATTGGGCCATCCCAGGAATAAAGAAAGTGAGGTTTGGTCTAGTAGTGAAATTCTTTTGGGGTTGTTACTGCGTCTTCTGAGTCCCTAAGTCCAGACTTACAGTCAGATACCTAATTTTAGTCTTAATACAGAGTAATCTACCTACATGTCAGATACTGGCAAGATCACAGACCTGATGTACTAGTCAATGTATTTAAAAGAGAAGAAGGCTGTTAGTCTATAGGAAATAAGGTACCTTTGTGAAAATCTTACATCACAACTTCATAGTGTGATACAAGTAAGAGTTTGAGTTTTTAAAAAGCTGTGGTTAAGTTACACATAACATAAAAATTTACCGTCTTAACCATTTTCAGGTGTACACTCAGTGGCATTAAGTCGTTCACACTTTTGTGTTGCATCGCCCCCATCTGTCCCCAGAATTCTTACCTTACAGAGAATAAGAAGCAGTGACTTCCCATTCTCTCCCTCCTTGCCAAGGGCTCATTTTTATTTATTTGTGTTTGTTTTTCAGAGGCAGAAAGGCAAGATTCTTCTGTGTTTCTTGACTCTAAACATCTTAATCCAGGACTCCAGCTTTATAGGGCTTCATATGAAAAAAATCTTCCTAAAATGGCTGAGGCTTTGGCTCACGGCGCAGATGTGAACTGGTCTAATTCCGAGGAAAACAAAGCAACACCACTTATTCAGGCTGTGTTAGGGGTATGAATTTATAAATTCAGGTTTTCAGTGGTAACAGAACATAAAAAAATCATAATTCATTTTGAGCATAACTTTACATTATTGTTTGCTTTAAGAGGTGGGTTGGAAAATAGAAGCAGCAGCTAGTAGTGATTTCTGAATATCGTTTTGTGTAAGTTCAGTTTTTTTTCTTCATGGAAGGGAATTCTAGTAATGAAAGTAGTGGGTTTTGCTAGATTGCAAACTGCAAATAGAATCCCAGTTAGAGTAGTTCTTGGGAAGAAAATAATATAATTTATTATTTTTCTGCTTTTGCTGGGGGGCATTTTCTCTTTTTTGGCTATTAGAGTAAAGTAAATACTCTGTTTTTAATAGAAATATATTGTCATTCACTTTTTGCCCATTGTTGTCTTCTTTCTTCCCTCTCAGGGCTCTTTGGTTACATGCGAGTTTCTCCTACAGAATGGTGCTAATGTGAACCAAAGAGATGTGCAGGGCCGGGGACCACTGCACCATGCCACCGTCTTGGGGCACACAGGGTAAACTGTTGTGCTTATATATTTAAGTGGATTTTATTTGAAAAATTATTTTGAAATAATCTTTTGCTCTTCAGTGAAGATCGTTAGGTACAGTTTGTAAGGTGATACTTTCTGTGACTTACATTGTCACAGTAGAACCTGAAATTTAAAAAAGTTTCAGGAAAAAATACTATTACTGTTCAATAAGTAACAGTAATCCTGTTGTTTGTCATTAAGAAAATTGACAGACTTACTTTGAACTTTACTAATTATTTACATAGATCTCTTAGAATTTAAAACTGTCACTGAAATTTTGGCAGTTTTAAAAGTCAATTTAATGTGTTTGTATGTATAAATACATACAGTATTTCTGTATTTATACATTATGTACATAGCACACACATTTGGGGGAAATTTTTTTGTAACTTTGTAAATTTTAGTTTTCCTACAAAGTAGTTAATTCTTATTTTGTGCTATTGATGTTGTGATTTCTGGACCAGTGTTTAGATCCACAGAACAATAAAGCTATACAATGGGCTTTCTACTAGAGGGTACAAATAAACTCAAAATTTGGCCTTATATATTTGCATCAAAGGCCATTTTTTTTTTTTTTTTTTATAAAATACCTCAGGATCTGCAATCTTTATTACCTGGACAGGCAAGAAGCTGTCCTTTTCTAATGTTTATTTATAACTAATCTTCTATTTTCATCCTAGCTTGTTTTCTTTCCCTCTATTAGCAAGAAGATTCAGTTCAATAACTTTATCATAAAAACTCTTCTTTATAAAAGCTTATATTTAACTCATCCTTTTATTTTCTTTTTAATCATGATTATTCCCATTTTACTTCATAGACTCCATTTATCATTTTTTCATTTTTGTCAGTTTTTTGAAGTTATGAATATTTGTGAGGAATACAGCAGCAAGATTACTTCCCATTTGTTGCTATTGTATTAGCATTAATATTTTATGATGTGAACATTGCCTTGGCTTCCTTCTTTTCCTCGATAATGACCTTGAGTGCTTTTTATTTAACTTTCTAGGTATCTGTGTACACCTTTTTGTAATATTCTTTGAGGGTAGGGGCCATAATTTATACATCCCACTATACTATGTATTACCAGATTAAATGTGAAAATACCTTGAGATTTATAAAATGTTGCTCATGTAGATTTTTATTAATAGAGTCAATAGTCAATAAAATAAATCTTTGTAGAAAGAATCAAGAATTTCCTAATGAAGATGTTATATCTTTAAATAATGCTTTTTATTTTTTAAGGTGAATACTAATTTTATTTTTTATTGGCAATATCAGGCAGGTATGTTTATTTCTAAAAAGAGGTGCCAATCAACATGCCACTGATGAAGAAGGGAAGGACCCTTTGAGTATAGCTGTGGAAGCAGCCAATGCTGATATAGTGACCTTGTAAGTGTTTTCACATGGTTATTTCCCATACATTTTATTACTTATACAGGGTTTTAACTTAGAGTTTCCTGTGTAGGTGTGAAATTTAAACTTGGTTATTTACTAGAAGCCATTTACTTTTCTAAGCACATTAAATGTATGAAGCATGTTACATACATGAAATTACTTGGTTCCCACCTCAATCCTATGAGGAAGGTTTTATTATTACCAGCCTCATTTTATAAGCAGGCCAAGCTACAGATAATTTGAGAAACTAGTAAATGGTGGAGCTGAAATTTGAAACCAAGAATTCTGTCTCTAAACCTGTGTACTTAGCCACTTTTGTTTTACTTCCTGGCCAGTAGGAATAGAATAACTGACCTTTCTGAACTGGATTCTTTAACTCTCAGTACAGTACTGGGGTGAGAGTTGGATTGGTTAGTAACAGGCAGTTTTACTAACTACCTCAAGAATTAGAGGATTATAAGCAGGGAATGCAAGTGCATTGATGTTAGTAACTTGCAGTTGCATTGCCTTTGTGCACTGATACTTAGGAGACATGTTTGTGATTATTTTTTAAAAAGAATTATTCACAAGAGTACTCTATTTTGAGGTAAAAAGATTTGTTTTGGAGTGTTTGAATATAAATTAATATGACCTGTTAAAGAACCTTGAGGTCTTTGATTTTCATCTTAGATCAAAGTTGTTTATTACACTGGAAATCTAGGAATGTGGTTGTCACCTATCCTTTACCGTTATGTAGGAAGTCTCAAACAGGTTGTATGAATCACTTTTTCTTTCTGTTCTGAATGAAGCCCATGATTGTTGGTTCTCTGTTAACTAAATAAAGATAGTTCCATCCACACTACTGAATTTCAGTCAGTTACAAAGAAGGGGGACTCCCTTGACTATCTTGAACTCCAGAGTTCCCACTGAGAATTCTTGCCATATATCACCCCTCCCTGACCCCTGCCAGACTAAAACAAAACAAAGAACCAAAAGAGAAAAATGTATTTTCTCTGTACCTAGCTTCATTTCCTCACTGGAGGGTTTATTGTTATTGTGGAGACTATTGTAGGAAAATTTAGATCTATTAAATCATTGTAGACTTAACATTGGAGAAAGCTAAGTTATTAAAGAAAAGATAGGAGTGATATAGAGAAATTACATTAACCCTGGCTGCAGCTTCCCAGGCAATTCTTATAGTATTGGCCCTTCTTTCCCCAAAATATGTTCCCAAATTCTCTAAATTTTCTCATTTTGTTTTACTTGAGGCTGTCAGTTTCACTTAAAATTTATTGAAATAGGCAGCCTCTCTGAAAGGTTCAAATACCAAAAAGGGAGACTTACTTATCTTGCTGTTACGAGTTCACACAATGGTTGAGAAAGGAAATGGCAGCAAATTGTGGTACTTTGAAGATAAAAAACAGCCTCTGTCAGATGCTGCGGTTGCCAAAGAGAGCATATTAGAAGGTGATGGAAGTCTGGAAGGCCAATGAGTATTTGGTGACCTGAAGGACAGGCAAAAGAGTAGGAGAGGGGCACCACAGATAACATTTGTGTTTCAAAATGTTGCTTGAAATTAGTAAGAAAATGAGAGGAAATTCACTAATTTTCTTAATCCAGTGCTATAGGTCTTCCTGCTGCCATGTAAATAACCCAAAAAGAATGTATAATCAATATGGTAACTGTGGGAAAATCTTAGTAGCCTATGGTCATTTATTATAATGTCTGTATGTCAGAATATATCCCCAGTATTTATAGATAACACATGCTATTTATACATTTGGAACTACCATACCTCAGGATGAACCAGATTGAACTTATGACAGGCTATTGCTTCCATTTTATAGAAGCAATAATTTCGAAGGTTGGCAGTTAAAGTCTGACAGGTTGCGTTAGAAGTCAGGAATTCTGTGTGTCTGGAGGAAGCAAGCTGCTGGTGGTGCTGCAAGGAACCTGCTTAAAACTGAAACTCACTTTTTAGAAATCTTTTATTGTCTTCTGTCATGAGAATTGTTTACTTTGTATTTCAGATTGTTGGGTCTGACAAACTAAAAGTCCTTTTGTTTCAGGCCAAATAACTGGTAAAAGAAAAAATTACATGAGTACGTGTCTTAGTTGTTTATAATTCAGTAGTTTATGAATATTTATATTGTATAACTTACCTAAAACATTCTTTAATTTTAGGTTACGTTTAGCAAGAATGAATGAAGAGATGCGGGAATCAGAAGGACTTTATGGACAGCCAGGTCAATATTCTACTAATAACCATACTGAAATGCAATATAAGAAATGCATCCAGGAATTTATCAGTTTACAATTGGAAGAGTCATAGTTCTTTAGCAAACTAACAATACTATATAGAGTTTTTATAAATTACTTGTAAATTGTGGGTTGTTAGCTATGTACTGTACTTACTGAATTCTTGGGAGTGGCTCGCTCTTGAGCCTTTAAAACTCCATAACTATTCCTATTACAGTACACATTTACTTGCTGTATTTAACTCTGGCTACTGACTTCTTTATCTGCTGTACAGATGTCTTCCATATACATTCCAGTGAGGTGAATGGAATGATAATGTATCTTTATACACTTAAAGCAGCACAACAGTCATTTTCTTTTTGGCTGTCAAGTGAATATAACAGAGTTGTTTTCTTTTTGTTGTTCAGGGAATTTCTATAAATTGTGTTCAGGGAAAAAAAAGACAAATCACTATGTGTTGACATATAAAAAGTCACTAGGGAAAATACCTAGACAATGTTTATTGAATTAAGAGTTATGTATTTGACCTAAAAATGAGTTAAAGGTTTAAAAGTAAAGTTTACCAGTAGGTTAAAAAGTCCATAATGGGAATAGAGTTAGTTTAAAAGGTAGTGGGAAAAGGTCCAATTTTATCTTGTAGCTTTGCCCTAAGTAATTGTACAATATTTGTTGGATAAATGGAAGTATTCCAAGCAGTATTTTGTGAACTTGATGGCAAAGTAGATGTATTCTTCTTAAGAGAAATCTCAACTCAGGATCAGTTCAAGTCTCATTTTGCGTAATTTTTATCTTTGAGTCGAGATGTAAGAAAATTAAAAAAGGCTGCTGATCAGATTTCTTTCTTTGATGAACACATCCTGATTAGACATTCTTCACAAAGAAGAGAGTAATAATTGGATCTTCAGTTTCATGAATTTGAGTATATGAATTACTGATTTATCTGTTTTAAATTCATATACATGCTGGTTAAAAATTTTAGGAATCCATGACTAAAATAATTGAGACTGTTCAGTTCTCAGTGAGTATGTTTAATTATTTTCAATCAGTATTAATATTTTAAAAGTGGTTTGTAATATCATCTATCTTTCCTGTTTAAGTGTGTTTTGAAATTTCTGTACTTTATGCTAGCTTTAGCCAGCATTTTTACTTTTATTTTTATTTTACTTTACTTTTATTTTAACCCAATTTATACATATATATATATAACCAAGATATATGGGACCATTCCTTTCTAAGAGGACTGTATTTATTACTTTTGGGGGGTCTAATTTAATAGGGAACAAGTACGAACTTTGAGAATAGAGGCACTTTAGCTAGATACTTCTAATCTAGAGTGTCCCACTTTAATCCTATGGATCAAACAATATGACTGATTCATGAAGTACCAAGATGTAAGAGTGCTGATAAAGGGTGAAGTCTCAGCATTAATTCTGAATTTCACCCATTTGTTTTAAACTTGAATGTTAGACTTTAAAAATGTTATAATTTTGTAACAGATATACCTAAGTGATAGTATTACTAGGCCATTTTTGAGGCCTTTGTGTTTAAGCACTTTAAAATAAAAGTTATTCAAAGAATATAACCTGATAGGCAAGATAAGAGTGAATTTCAGGATTTTAGGTGAAACTTTTTTCCCTTGACATTTTCAATGTAAATGTCTGGTCAGCTTCTCTTTCCTTAGGGTGTTTACTGATGAAGCTGCACCCAGCTTCAGAAGGTCAGTGGGTGACTTTTCTCTGAAACTGGGATGCTTTGAAAGGACAGGTCCTCTTATGTTCTTGCAGCTTCTAATTCCATCTAAACTGTAGGTCTTCTGCCCCTATCTGGAAGCATTCAAGTGGTTCTTTCAGTGTCATTTTATATATAAGTTTATGAGTATACACCTTTTGCTCTGGAGAAGGAAACGGCAACCTACTCCAGCATTCTTGCCTGGAGAATTCCGTGGACAGGGGAGCCTGGTGGGCTGCGGTCCATGGGATTGCAAAGAGTTGGACATGACTGAGTACACAGCACAGCACCTTCTGCTCAACAGTAGAAAAATAAGAGTTTTCCAATTTATTTGAATGAAAATTTGAAGGAAAAAAAGGGCTTAATTAAAAAGAAGAAAAAAGCAAGCTTTCCTGCTACAGTCAAATCTTAGTTTAGAAAAGATTAAAAAAAAAAAAAAGCAAAAGTCTGGAAATGGTATACCAGCAGAATAAAATGAGATTCGCATTTGGTAATAGCTAGATTTTTAATTCATTTAGGTGGTCTCATATTTAAAGCAGAACAACTTTATACTTGTACAGGTGACTTGGTGAAATGGCTCAGCAGTTGCTCTCTGAGCCTTTTCCTTTGTGAGTCTTTGGAGAGCAGATATTTTTGCTCAGGCTGCAGGTCTCTTTTCCTCTTTGCTTATCACTGTAAATTTCCCTCTCACAGATTTTGGTTGGTTGTTTTAGTTAGATCCTTTGTTGTTGTTGTTGCCTAACAATAGATGGAAACCCTCAGAATTCTGGGTAGTTTTAAAATGCAGGTATCTTCAGTCTTTTCATTATGAAGATCTCTTCCATTTAAAAGACTCAGATATAATCTTTGGGAAGCATGGACCTGTTTCTAGGAAACCCCACTTTTGAACTTTCTATCTACAACCCTAAGGACCTGAGACTTTCTGTTTTTTGCAGCGTGACCCAAGAGCACACATTTCCTGAGGGGAAAATGTATCCCTTCTTGTCAGTTCCTACGACTCTTAGGAGGACTAGGTGGATGCATGCAATTTCACATCCTACTCTCAATTGTTGGAAACTAGTTTGGTGGTTCCCATGGTCTCTGGCTCTATGACTCCTCTTGATTGTTGGCAGAGTTTTTCAACCAGTTGAAAATCATTGCTTTAGTGAACCACTACTAATTATGTGAGTATGTTGCCTGTGAAGACTGATCATTGATCCAGTCAGTTACAAAAAGGAAGCTGTGATCAGTCCAGAGGGGCAGGGTCATCACTGATCACCTGGGAGCAGGGTCTCCCATGCTGCCGTATCTTTGAGGGGAGTACATGTTAAGAGCAAAATTAGCAAAATCTTGGATAATAGCTGCTGTTGCAGTGTTTATTCTGAATACCAAAAATCAAACACTATTTTAAACCATCAGTGGAAATATAGCAGTCCACATTTTAGAAACTCAGAACTGTCCAAGCACATAGAAGAGTTAGCTTGCTGAAGAGAAATAGAATGTGATTAAGTAATTTAAAGAATTTAACTTAGTATTTCAAATATTGGGTGGTTAGTTGTTTATTGTTTATAATACTGTTAAATGTACTTATGAACTTTCCAGGGCAACATATTCTGGGTTATCGTTTATGTATTCTAGTGTAGACAAGTTATATTTGCCATGGGAAACATTCTGAATGATCAAAATTGTATTTAAAGAATCACATTGAAGTTCAATTTGTAGTTCAATTTGTGTTAACTATATTAAATATCTTAGTCACTATTGTTACGTCATGTTTGCTTTTTGACAACACAGTTTGAGGCCTAAGAAAGGTATTATATTGATAGTCCCTTAATTAACATTTGGTTAGAAACTGAATATTACTGAAAAGTTTTGTGTATGTGTGTGAAGGTAAGACTTCCTTTTGTGTTGTATTAACTCTTTTAAAATGTATTCAGTAAGTGAAACCAATGATTAGTGTAGCACCAACCCTTTCCTTCAAGGAAGCATTTAATTCAGTGAATAAAAAAATCGTATAATCTGTTTTGCATGGTACAATGGTTCTACTAAAATGTACTTGTGTAGTAGGTACTAGATAATTTAAAAACAAAAACTGGAAAACCACAAAAAGAAAAAAAAATCCCACAGCTTGTTATACAAAATATGCATTGCTAATAGTAGAAGCCATATATTGCCATTGTACTGTTGTAATACTTAAGATTGACTGCTCATCTGGTGCTATCTGTAAGCTGTTTGGCATTAGCGTCTGCTAGGTCCTTCTTCCTATTTCTTCTTGAATGTATAATGTGTGCCTTTTAAGTTCCTTCTGGTGTTGGATGGTAAAATCAGTGTAGTATTTTTGTATTATAATCTGCACTTTACACTTTCTTGGAAAGTAAGATTCCAGACTCTCCAGTTTAAATAGTATTTTTAAAATATTTATAATGTTTACAATAAATATTTTAAATATTTGAATTCAACATCTAAGAATAACTTTTAAATATTTTGTATGGTTTGTTAATTGATGTTTAATGTTTCTCTCTTAGTTTATTTTATATATTTTAGAATGCCTAAAAATGGGAATAGATTGTAGTTTGTCTTCTAATGTGGAGGTAAACTTTTATGAAATGAAATATGGGTGTAATTGGATTGTCTTACCAGTTGTTCCAGCATATCACCCTTTATTGTTTTAGTTACAATAATATATGAGTTAGATGTTACTCTTAGTCAACCTATTAGGCTTGACTCTCTTCTTATTGTATTTTTTCTTTCTAAAGTGATTGATTCAGGTCATGAGAAAATTTCCAGGGCTAAATGAAAAACTATATAGAGATTTTAATAACTTGCTTTTTACATTGACTAAATATTAAAAGCATTAAAAAATTTTTTATTGAAAATCTTGAGTTATGCTGTTAGACCTTTTTACTAGATCTTTATCACTTTCCCCTGATTTTTTTCTAATTCTCTAGCTTTTGGTATGACATCTATTGCCTCAAAAAATCTCACTTTTTAAAAGCTGACAAAACTTAACTGCACTATTAACAACAACTGTAGCAATGAGTGTATAATAAGATGGATGCAAGGTATTTTTTAGGGAATAATTATAAAACCATGCTTTAACAATAATTACCTAAACCAGTATTTGACAGTCTAAATCTTGAAAACAGAATTATGACAAGCCTCTGTATAAAAGTAATATGTTTAATGAAGCATTCATGATGAATGATTTAACTTGAAAATAAGATTTCATTTTATATAAATCTTTTGTCTGAAGAGTTAGCCTATATGTGTGTATATATTTAGTTTTTCATCACAAGAAAAGTAGTCTTCAATCTGCTATAATATCAGTGTCTATAATCTTCTCTACAAGCATATTGTATGTATATACACATGTATTCCCTGGGGTAGGAAATGGCAACCCACTCCAGTATTCTTGCCTGGAGAATCCCATAGACAGAGGAGCCAGGTGGGCCACAGTCCATGGGGTCACAAAGAGTCGGGCACGACTGAGCATATACAACCAACCAACATATGTATTATTCTAATTTAACAGATGCCTTTGATATTTAGTCCCCTTTTGTCATAGCATCCTTGCTCAAATGACCTACAGTAAATGAACTATTGACTAAATGTGAAAGTATGATTTTAAAGTCATTTTCTAGGCTTTATTATTTTATAAGCTTAGTTAAAAAGTAGATTAAGTGAATTAGTTTTAGTTAAGCATTAAAGTTTGAATAAAGACTTTTTCACCTATTATTTAAGATTTAATTAAGATATAATATTAAAATTTCCCACCTGGTTATCAGTTTTGTCCTGCTGCTGACTTGCATCCATCAGAAGCATTAATATTTGTTTTTGATCTTTTCTTGGCCTTGATCAAAGGAAATATTTATTTAAAGAATGCCTTGTTTATTATACCTCATTTAGGATGACTTTTATTTCTTGTGTGTTAATAAATGTATTTCTTTACTTGCTTTAAAACACTTGCATCTTTGCTCTTTTCTAACTCTGAACTTTCCTCTGTGGCTGCATCTGAGGTGCTTTTTTCAGGTATAGTTTTTTTTTCTTCCATTACTTATCCAACACTTACATTTAGTTGGTCTTTTTTCTTCAAAAAATGCTCATCTGAACAAAGTTTTATTATCATGAATTGTAAAATAGTTACTAGTCATAAAATGAATGTCTTTTAATACTATTTTAATATAAATTTTTAAAAGTGTTTTTATTTTACTTTCATGCAGGTGATGAAACTTACCAGGACATTTTTCGTGATTTCTCCCAAATGGCATCCAATAATCCAGAGAAACTAAATCGTTTCCAGCAAGATTCACAGAAATTTTGAATTTTTTTTAGAATGGGGAAAATAGTAAATCTAGTGACCCCCTAATGTATATATCTGAAAACTCACTTATTTTTACTGCTTTAATCTACCTACTTATTTTAGTAGCTATTGAGCAGTTTGGAGAAAAGATACCCATTCATTGATATTTTTATAAATCAAAACATAGATCTCTTAGCAGTTGGGAGAGGAACCTACTTTAAGACTTACATTATTTTATTTTTTTTTTAAAAAGCCTGTTTAAAGGGCTGTTTTTTATAGATGAAAGTTGAATCTGGACTTAGGCCATCTCTAGGTTACAAGATGCTAAGATTTATACAGAATAATCTTTTCTTCCCAATGAATGATGGCATTGATGTTTTTCTTCTGTGCACTGTGCCCAGGATTGTTCAGTCAAGCCTGTCAGCATCAAGTGGGGAGCCTGATGTCCTGCCTGATTCCAGAATGTGTCTTTGCTTTAGCTTCCTGGATGTTGGTGGTTCAAAATAGGTTTTGCTTTTATTTTTTCTTGGTAGCTATTATATACACAATATGTAATTTAATTATTAGAACTAGAGGATACATGACCCCATTTCCTCATAAATGTAGTTTATCCCTCACGTTATTGTCCAGTACTTTAACATACATACAGTGGCTGTACAGATTGATATAACTCAGTCCTTTAGATTTATTCCATTTTAAGAAGCAAAAAAGAAACCGTTGACATTTTTTTTTTTCCAAATTACCAAAAGGATCTCATAGAAGTTATAGTTCTTCAATGTTGGGTTGATTTCCTAAAACCTTGACAATTTTATTGATGTAATAAAACTGTGTTTCAAAGGTTACTTGAATGTTGCAAAATTATGCTTTCATCAGATTGTAACTATCAAAGGAAAAGTTGACATAAAATAATGTAGAACATTTTTATATTTGAAATGTGCCCTTTTCAAGGTACATTTTTGCTGTTGCTCCTAGTGAAAGGAAAATCTCTCTGTAAAAGGAGAAAAAAAGACTCGTTTTTTTAGATTATACTAAAATATACAGCAATAAATTGCTTTTTAATTCTTCTAACATCTATCCTATGTACTTATCATACATGGTATACATTCTTTTAAATTATAGCATCTATGTAGACTTCCCTGGTGGCCCAGATGGTAAAGAATTCACTTGCAATGTGGGAGACCTGGGTTCGATTCCTGGGTTGGGAAGATCCCCTGGAGGAGGGCACAGTAACCCACTCCAGTGTTCTTATCTGAAGAATCCCATGGACAGAGGAGCCTGGGGGGCTGTAGGCCACGGTGCCTCGAAGAATTGGACACGAGTGAGCGTCTAAGCACAGCACATGTAGCTTTAGTATTTGGTTACATGAATCACAGACCCTTGAATTCCAAAATATTATGGAATTGGACAGATAGCTATACTATGGAAATGTTAATTTTCTTTGTATATGCTACAAATTTGTTTGATTCCATCTTTGATTGACCTCTCATCAGGAGTGTAAAATAAGTAATTTGCCTTATGGTTTATTTTTAATATTGTCATAACTAAGTTTAATTTTCTTTTTCAAGTTATATGTAAGTAGTGAGAGGTTTTTAAACTTGAGTTACCAAATAAGTGGAGAAATTATATTTCATTGGGTATATAATAAATTTTCTAACATTTTCCCACCAGTAAGTAGAGTTTTCTAAGTTGACTGAACATCAAATCAGAATCAAAACAGGAATTATACTGAAATAAATTCACATCACAGAAAAGGCTCTGTATTTGTTTGACCAAATTGCATGCATATAATGAACTGTCATGTATTAGATAAAGGTAAAAAATATATGTATGGATTATTTCTAAGGAAAGGCTAATTTCCAAAACCTTGTATTTTAATTGCAACAATAACAAGAACATTAAATCTTCCCTGAAATCTGAGTCGAAGACCACCCGGCTTTGCAAAAGTCTGATTTGTAGCATTTTTGTTAGTGTACTTTGAAATTAATTGTCCAGAAAGCTCACGGAGAAGGAAATATATTGAGATAAGAAAGAAAGAAACAGAGGAAAAAAGAAAGAAGAAACAAGAGCCTCACTTTTCCTTTGTAGTGCCTATTCCAGTTTTGAGCCTAGGAATCCTTTTGTTCTTTATCTGAAGAAGCCTAGGTAGTTTTCATTTTGGATCCAGCCTTTGGTCTCCAGATCACTTCTGGGTTCTCTGGTTGTGAAAGCAGTTCTTAGAGACTCTTAACTTCTGTGACTTCAGTCATGAGTTGTTAATGTGGCAGTAATTAGTGTCTACTTAAATTTAATTGTTAGAGATGTATTTGAAGTACACTAAAGATGATCATGGTTCTGAATATCTTCAGAAAAATCTTCAAAGAAAGTGAAAGTGAAATCTTTAACAGTGTAGGGAGTTTGTACATTGAAAAATACATTTATGTGGCTTGGTTTCTTGAATATGCCAAAACTCAATTTGGATTAAATTTGGCAGAAATGATGCAGTAGTAACAGCAAAGTTTTAAAGAAAATGAATAGTTACAAGTAGTTACAGAGTAGGTTGGCTTTTAACCAAGGTGAATTAACTATGTCAACTAATAGCTTTTCTATAGTATGTAACAAATCTGAGTTTTATTATGCTGTGAATTATTCAGTACAGTATGATCAATTACAGTGTAAACAATGTTAGTTATAATCTTGGGCTTCAAAAATCAATGTGATTGTCCTTTGTTTTCTTTCCCTAGGTGATCTGCTGGTCTTTAGTTTCAGATCCCTTATTATTCCATTAATCATTATTAGCTTATTAGCTTAAAAGTTTGATTTAAAATAGTCTCAAAATAAGAGTAGCAGTACTATGAGGAATTTATACAGTGCAGTTTCATGTTAGAACTAGACTAAAGGTAATTGTGTAGTTCTTAATTTTTCATTGTAACACTTAACATGTTTAAGGTTTCTAAGTTTTTAAAAAATTACCTTTGGTACAATTCTTACAAATTCAGAGATTTCCAGGGATTCACTACATTACAGTGTTTGCCTAATTTATACTGGTTTTCATTGTATATTTTAATCAACTTTAGTGTTTACTTTGTAAAACATTATCTATTTTATTTGAAATATTAAATGGTTCTTCATGAGTGCATTTTGACAAAACACATACTTTTCCAGTCTGGACAACTTATATTTGTGATATGTTAAGCAGTATTTTAAAAATATAATTTTACACATGTGAAGTGTGATCACAAGAAACAATTGTATTTAAGACTAAATTTACTATCCGTTTTGAATAAGACATTCCCTTATCACTCTTATATTGTTTAATTAACTTTTCTGTTTGATAGCACTTTTGACTGTGGACATGAGCTGGAAAATGCTATATTTTTATAGAATTGTCTTTCTAAAATGATTTCAGACCTACATGATATAGTGGAAAGAGCACTGACTAGTGATTATTACTCTTTGAAGTCAGAGCACCTCACAAATAAAATGAGTTGGATGAAACAAGGTGAAACTGTAACAGCAGTCTTTCCTATACTGTTTGCACAGTTCCTCCCAGTGTACTTGCCATCAGTTTATCTTGCAGGATCCTCATGGTCGGACTTCTGAGATCACCAACATTGTCTCTTCTCTGATCATGGGCTGCTGCTCTTATTTCACAGAGCTGGTCTCTGTTTTGCTGGTTGGTGGTATAGCTGACACCAGAACCCCTGTCTGACTAGTAGTCAAGAGGCACTCATATCATGAAATGATTTGAAATCATTATAAATCAGCAGTCTAATAATGACTGCCAGCTTTCCTTTTGTTTTGGTTAAAAAAAAAAAAAAGACTCCAAATATTCTGGAAAACCTGGATATAAAATTACTTTGAAGAAATAGATTAAGGTTTGAAGACATCAAATTGTAGGGAATTTTATATTTTTGCAGTAACAAAACATTGACAAAGGCAAAATGTAAAGGTTATTTTAATCCACCATATGCTTACCAATTTCTTGATTTTTCTAAACGAAGACAGCTAAAAGGGGCATGGATTCAGTTTGGCCAAATCTTGACATCTATAAATACAATGTTGTGGGCATCCTTTTCTGTTTACATAAATTTATCTACTAAAATGAGATAATGGGAAGAAAGCAAGATTTGATTAAATAAACTTTTCTCTACATTGCTCTTTTCACTATCTTATGTACTAGGTTTTCTTATTTTTCCTCAGCATACTTCCCAGCCTTTTGGATATTCATTTTAAACAGGGAAAGCTCTCTACATTATAAAGAATATTGGCACCATTTATTTTACACAAAGGCTAAAGGTTAACTTTTAGAAATGATGAGCTACTTTCCTCTATGTGTTTACTTGTGCTTCATGATATTTCTGGATCATTCCCGTCTAAAGACTTATTACATGTAATATTTCCTGCTACCTGTGAAAAGATAGATTTTAAAGACTGTATAACCAACAATCCATTTAGTTTTTATTAGCATGTAGAGGATTTATTTGTATCTAATTCATGAATGTAGTTTTACTATAGGATGTCACTGTAAATGGAACAAAGTATGTTATCTTTATAGTTATTTTAAGATGTACATTATGTAAGAATTGTAAATATTTACCTGATTAAATTCTTTGTATGCCAAGAAATTATGTCATATCAATAAAAATCTCACCTCTGGCATAGTTCTTTTGTGTTCAGACTTCTACTTTATTGTGAACCACAATTGCAGATATACCTGTCAACTCATGTGTTTCATATTTTCAGTTCGGTGTGTCTTTCCTACTCTGTCAGATTGGTCCAGATTGATCCTATTTGCTGATTGCTTCAACCATGAAATCCGTTTTGATTTTTTAAATATTTTCTTCTGCCTGTCACAGAGCTGTATGGCTCCCAGTTCATTAGCTAAAAGCCACAAAAGGCCTTTTTATGCTGTAGCTCTAATTTTTTTGCCATTATGATTGAGATATCTGTTGAAGTTTCTAATCTAGGCAACACATTTACACTCATACCCTTTTAGTAAACAAACAAAAACAAGCTTTTGCGTGAATCAAGATTGAAGGAATAGAGGCCTAAAAGAACAGACCTGGAAGTGAATTCCCTGCTTTTGCTTTTCCTTTAAAAGTTAAGTGAAAGCAGACACTAAAACTATTCTATGTAATTTACTTTATTCCACTTCACTTCATTTTCATAAATAGTTATTTGACCAGGAGAATGCAAACCGATAGTAAATGTTTTAAATGAAAACCACCTACTTTGCTTTATTACAAAACAGTGCTTTTTCATTGTAGGAAAGGTTAATGATAAGCAAAAGGAACTTGGTCCTAATTCCATCATTTGCCTGTGATGTTTAATATGGTACCTCCTAGCCACATGTGTCTACTGAAATTTAATTAAAATTTGAATTAAGTGTTCATGTGTTGTTGGAGAAGGAAATGGCAACCCACTCCAGTATTCTTGCCTGGAGAGCCCCATGGATGGAGGAGCCTGGTGGGCAACAGTCCATGGGGTTGCAGAGAATCGGACACGACTGAGCAACTTCACTGCATTTCATGTGTTGAATTGCCACGTCAGAGCTGCTAGCTTTGTGTCCAGTGATTACTGTTTTGAGCAGGGCAGATTATAGAATATATTCACCCTAGGAAGTTCTGTTGGATAGTACTGAGTGTGGGGGATGCTATTACTCCCATGGTATATACCCTTCTAGACCTTTGGATGTGTGTACATACAGTGGGGTCAAACTGTTTTGTCACCTGCTGCTTTCATTTAATAAATGAGGGACAAGTTTCTAAGTCTTTTAAGTAATCTGCATCACTTTTGGGAGGATTTTTAAAAGTCTTTTTATTGAAAATTTCAAACATAGAAAAGTAAAGATAATAACTTTATTAGCTATTGGTTCATGGCTTACACTGTTTTATCTACACTTATACCCATTTTTTTCTCTTCACTATTTTTTTAAGACAGGTGCCAGACATTTCAACATATTGTTGAGTATGTCTCTCTAAATATGTATATTGCTTTTATGCAGAATCTTAAAAATGATACAAATGAACTTACAAAACAGAAGCAGACTTAGAGAACTGAACTTATTTATAAAACAGAAACAGAACAAACTTTCGGTTACTAGACAGGAAGGATTGGGGAGGGGGGAATAATTGAGGAGTTTGGGGTTGACGTGTATACAACAAGGACCTACTGGCCAATACAGAGAACTCTGCTCAATATTATATAACAATCTAAATAGGAAGAAACTTTAAAAAGGAATAGACACATGTATATGTATAATTGAGTCACTTGGCTGTGCACTTGAACCTGACACAACATTGTTAGTCACCTACACATCAATATAAAGAAGTTAAAGGGGGGAAAGGACTGTCCTTAAAAAATTATATCACCTTTCTCAAACTATGAAACTGTAGTCAATATGCAAATTCCTCAATATCTTGTGTTCTTTAAAAAAAGTTTTCAAATCAATTTATGTAAGTTCCATTCATTGCAATTGGCTAATATATCTCTTGAGTCTGTAAATCTATAGGTTCTCCCTCCATTTATCACTTTAAAAAATTTCCACTTAGTTTGCTGACTACAGCACCAACAGCATCTTTATTTTTTTTTTTTAATTAAAAAAAATTATTTTTAGCTGCACTGGGTTTTCACTGATGTGTGTAGGGTTTCTGTAGTTGTGGGCGAGTGGGCTTCTCATTGTGGTGGCTTCTCTTGTTGGAGAGCCCAAGCTGTAGGCACTTGGATTCAGTAGTTGTGGCTTGTGGTCTCTAGAGTGCTGGCTCAGTAGTGGCGCACAGGCTTACCTGTCACTCGGCGAATGGGATCCTCCTGGACCAGGGATTGAAACCGTGTCCCCTGCACTGGCAGGCAGACTCTTAACCACTGGATCACCAGAGACTTCCCAACAGCATCTTTATTTTAGTACTGATGAACATTTGATTTTAATATCTTGTCATCATAAACCTAGCTTTGCATTACCCTTGTGGCTAAATATTTGAGTACATTTTTCCTTATTCCCTTTTGAAAATGATGGTTCACAATGGGTGGGTGTATTTCTGACGCTCATTCAGTGAGTCAAGCACCATCAGTTACTGGAGCTATTATGGTTAAAGAAAGACACATTGCCTGCTCTCTTGAAGTCTTGCCTTCTTGTAGCAGAGAAAGATGGGACTGAGTAGTTCTTAGGTGGCCCTTATGGGATCCTTGAGGATGGTGCCTCATCTGGACACTGCAAGGGCTGGTGTTTAGAGACCACTCCTTGAGGCGGGGACCCCCCAAGCCAAGGTCTGAAGGGCACTGCTTTTCAAACTTTGGCTTGCAGAAGAATCACCATCGAGGCCCAGGCTCTTTGAAGGTAATAGGGCCTGAGCCCTTGTGTTTTATCAAGCTCCCCAGTGCTGCTGCTGCTGCTAAGTCGCTTCAGTCGTGTCCGACTCTGTGCGACCGCAGCTAGTACCAATAAAAATTTGAGAACCACTGTTCTGTGGATAGGAGAGAGAACTGAAAGTTCTCTTGATTTTAGTATTGCCAGAGTGCCCTTCAGGAAAGTTGTGCCAGTACAGGCACCCTCATCTGCTGTAGAAGAGTGTTTCTCTGTCAAACCTGTCACTGTGTGACCGGAGCAAGTGACCTCAGTTACGCCTCAGTTAAGAATTTGCAAAACTACTGGGTATGCAGTAAGTCTCTTTTAAAGTGTTAAAGTATGTTAAAAAAAAAAAAAACTTCCTGGGGAGCTCTGAACCCCCCAACGTTGGTGGCAGGTGGCCCCCTGGTGGTCACATCCTTTAGGTTGCCTCTGGTCGGCCTCAGAGACGCCAGGTGAGGTGAGCAAGTGATTCATACCTCGGGTGTCAATCCTACTTCACCGAAAATGGGAAAGGAGTTGCTAGTTTAAATTCTTCAGCCCTAGATAGTCTCCAAGGTGTGAAAGGAGTCGGGGAGAGGACTTAAAGCCTTCAAGAAATTAGGAGGGAAAAGGTATATAAATAGAGAAAATTTTTGTGCGTCCAGTTTAGTCTTTTTGCTTCCGAAGGCTTAGCTTTGGTTTCTAGCGCCTGGGGCTGTGCACTTAACGAGGGCCATTTTCCACAGACCGTACAGCCTGCTGACTTGCGTGTCCAAGTCCTTACCGCCTCCTTCGAACACGCTGGAGGGACTCCCGCGGGCTCAGCGCCCAACCCCGCTGTAATCCTGCGCTTAGGACCCAGTGGCTGCCAGGCAGCCTCGCCCCGCCTCTCCGCGCATCAGTGCCCGCAGATTGGCAGCTCGGCTCCGCCCCCGCCATGGCTGCCGCCTGCTGCCGGGGCCGCTAACTTGCTGCTGGGGTACTGGTCTCTGCAGCCACTCCCCGGCTGATCTGTCCGCGGGCGGGTGGCGCATGGGTCTCCTCCGAGGCGGGCCCCCGTGCGCTCGGGCCATGGCGCGTCTGGGCGCTGTGCGCTCCCACTACTGCGCGCTGCTGCTGGCCGCGGCGCTGGCCGTCTGTGCCTTCTACTACCTGGGCTCTGGCCGGGAGACCTTCTCCAGCGCCACCAAGAGGCTGAAGGAGGCCCGCGCCGGGGCCCCTGCTGCGCCCTCGCCGCCAGTGCTGGAGCTGGCGCGGGGATCCTTGGCGCCGGCCCCGGGCGCTAAGGCCAAGAGCTTGGAGGGCGGCGGGGCCGGGCCGGTGGACTACCACCTGCTGATGATGTTCACCAAGGCCGAACACAATGCCGCGTTGCAGGCCAAGGCCCGCGTCGCCCTCGGCTCCCTGCTGCGCCTCGCTAAGTTCGAGGCGCACGAGGTGCTTAACCTGCACTTCGTAAGCGAGGAGGCCAGCCGCGAGGTGGCCAAGGCCCTGCTGCGGGAGCTGCTGCCGCCCGCCGCCGGCTTCAAGTGCAAGGTGAGCGGGACCCCAGGTAAAGGTTCCGGGTAGGTGACTCGGTCATTGTGGGGTCCGGCCTGGATCCAGGGGTCAGGAGGGAGGTGTCTTAGTTGCGATGCCCACTGCCAGTGCCAGCAGAAGCCTAACGCGTACCCTCCCGAATTGTGCGTTCATAGCACGCTGCAGGTCGGGGCGGGGAGGGGGGCCGCGGAGGGGGGCGGAGGGGGCGTGTCTCGGAGCTTCTATTAGCTGACTTCCTTGATCCGAGCTTCTTAACTGCAGCCCCCTGGAGAATCGCCGCGCCCCCTCTTTCCTGGCGTGGTTGATTTCAGCAGTCAGTGCATTTAGTCTGCCCCTCTTTTTATTCTTCTCAGTCTTTGACTTTTGAGGATGGAGCAGGTCACTTGAAGGTGCAGCGTCTACTGGACAAGGTCTTAGGCCGCTTGAGTTCTTCAAATTACAGTGATATTTCTCATAGCTGTAAGGATTTCAGTTGAAACTGGTCCAGCCCACACCCAGCCCATGTGAACCATTTCATCTCCTCAGTGTGCCTCCTTCTTCCCTTCTCTTCAGGGTCATGAACCCGTTTAGAGAAGCAGCGGGTTCCTCCCAGCAAGAAAGTGCTCCAAGAGGTAAGGATATAAGATCTGGAGAGGGCAGAGCAGAGCTAGTCGTCTTGTTCCAGGCTGGGCTGCCTGGCTCTGCTTGTGAGAGATTGTCAGTCAGCTCAGTCGCTCAGTCGTGTCCTACTCTTTGTGACCGCATGGACTGCAGCACATCAGGCTTCCCTGTCCATCACCAACTCCCAGAGCCTACTCAAACTCATGTCCATCTGGTTGGTGATGCCATCAAACCATCTCATCCCCTGAAATCCCCTTCTCCTCCCACCTTCAGTCTTTCCCAGCATCAGGGTCTTTTCCAATGAGTTGGTTCTTTGCATCAGGTGGCCAAAGTATTGGAATATTTCAGCTTCAGCATCAGCCCTTCCAGTGAATATTCGGACTGATTTCCTTTAGGATTGACTGGTTGGATCTCCTTGCAGTCCACGCTTAGTGTTAATGGCCTCAGTTAAATTACATGTCTCCTTTTGACCTAATAGTTGCCCAGAGGGGATCTAAGGTGTGATTTTAGGATAGAAATAGTGTGCACTAAATCACTCCAGTCATGTCCGGCTCTAAGCGACCCAATGGATTGTAGCCCACCAGGCTCCTCTGTCCAATGGGATTCCCCAGGCAAGAATACTGAAGTGGGTTGCCACGCCCTCCTCCAAGTGATCTTCCTGACCCTGGGATTGAACCCGTGTCTCATGTCTCCTGTGTTGGCAGGCGGGCTCTTAGTGGTGGTGGTGGAGTCGCTCAGTCGTGTCTGACTCTTTGCGACCCCATGGACTGTAGCCCACCAAGCTCCTCCGTCCATGGGATTTTCCAGGCAAGAGTACTGGAGTGGGCTGCCATTTCAAGGATGGAGACTGGTGGTAGGGGGAGGGGCGGTAAGATTAGAGTAGTCCATGTGTTTGTGCTGGGTGAGTGACTAAGGGGAGCAATGCTGGCCTCCTGCATGGTTCAGGGGCCTGTTGTTGTTTTTGGCCGCACTGCACAGCCTGTGGGATCTGAGTTCCCCAACCTGTGTCCCTTGCAGTGGAAGTTCAGTCTTAACCACTGGACCTCCAGGGAACTCCCTTTTTTGTTGTTGTTGTCTACAGAATCAAGTCCTCATTTCTTGGCAGGGCTGTCTGTTGTGGGGCCGGGCTCTTCAGCCAACCTCCTTGTCCTTCCCCTACTAACTGTACTGAATATGCCTTTACACAAGCTGTACTCTGCCCAGAGTGTCCTTGCCTTCTTCCTGGGCCCTTGACCACTGTTCACATAGTGTTCACCTTCCCCCAGGAATGCCCCTAGAATTGGGGACAGTCTGTGCCCAGCCCTCCACAGCTCTCTGTTCCAGCTTTCTGCCATAGCATCCAGTCTATGCCCTGCCCAGACCAAATGAGCCCTTCGGGAACACGCACCAGCCATAGCGAGGCACCTGGTCTGGATTCCATGGTTCGGGATGCCAGGAGTCCAGGTCCTGGAGCTTGTGGCTGCCGGGGCCTTGGGATCCACGGTCTGAGCTGGGCTTCTTTCAGCCTGGGGCCCATCCCGATTTCCCTAATTGCAGTCTCGGGAGGTAGGGCCTGGCAACCTGTTCCAGGTGTTCCTTAGGACTCCAGTGTTTGCGAAATCCTTTGCTAGATCATAGGGCCAGTCTGGATAGAGCTGGGTGACTGTGGGTAACCCCGCCTCCCTTTGCCTCTCAGGGCCTCCAGACTTGACTGGCGCTCCAGACACTACCGTGTAGACCAACATTATCATTGTTTCATTGATAAACAATGAAACTCATTGTTTTCTGAGTCAGAGGTCACACCCTGGGCCTCTCTGCCCCGTTACTAGGACTCTGCTCTCCCATTCTTGAGCTCCAGCCAGTGTCTTGTCGTATATCCAACTTTTTCCAGCGTACAGGCTTCTGCGTCTTTTGTTCCACCACCAGGATACACTTCTGTGTGCGTCGCTAAGTCTCGCCCATCTTCAGATACCGTCTCCTTGTTGGAGCCATCCAAGGAACGTCCATTCGAGAGGCACGTCTTCCTTATGTACCTCGCTGGTGCGGTGGACTGCATGCCTTCTCATCTCCGGTCCCTGTGCCTGGAACATAGTGGGCACTGTAAATACAGGTTTAGGGCAGGTCCAGGCTCAGGGCCGGGTTCCCTTGTTGGAGTTTGTGTTTCATGCTCCAACTCTATCCCTCTGCTGGCCCTGGTTCCGACAGCCAGAGCCATCACTCAAGGCCCGAGGCAGCTGCAGGTGACCTGAAGGAATTGATACCACTCCACCAAGGCATGAGGAATGAGGGTCTGGGGGCCTCCGACTTGATGGCTGTGTTTAGATAAGGGTTTATCATGTTCAGCTAAATTGCTTTTATTCCTTTTATTTTCTTGTGTGAATCTGTTTTCTGTGTGTGACCACAGTCATCTCTGCCCGGCCTTCAGGAGCCCACCATGTATGCTTAAGTCCCCTGAATGGCTGAGCATCTGCTGTGCGTCGGACCCTAAAGTCACAACTGTAGGGAACACGGATGGGGCAGGTACAGCCCCTGACACCGGGCACCCCTGGTGCTTAGCATCGCCCCGCGTATAGCCTGTCCCATTGCTGAACCTGCTGGATTGGGCACGAGATAGTCCTGAGGGAGGGAGGCAGCACTGAGCTTAAACCGCAGGGGCCAGTGACTATTTGGGTGACGTGGGTGACCCCTCTTTGCTTCTCAGGGCCTCCCAGGCCTCCTCTCAAATGCTGATTTAACCCCTACCTCCCTCGGAGAGGGGAGGGTTAAGTGCCACCTCGTGTACTGCAGGCAGCCCTGTGCTGCTGTGGCCATTGTTGTGTGTCTGCTCTCACAATACTCTTCTGCTCTGCTGACTTCTGGGGACTCTGGCTTCTGCTGACTGGCGGGCCCTGCAGCCATCGCCTCCCTCCTTTTTGGGGTGGCCAGCCCCCTGCAGAGGCCCAGGGGGATTTTCCCAGTGCTGTGGGGACCCCTCAGGCATACAGCACGATTGCTTCTTGTGCTGCGCTTTCCCTCAGACAGTGACCACTCAGAAAGGCCATCCCTGAACCCCTTTTCTGAAGCAGCTGCCACCCTATTAGCCTTCTTTATCTTTTCCGTCACCTTGTTGGTTGCACACGCTCATTTGTTCATTCATTCAACAGATACTGTTGAGCGCTTATCTTGCTGCAGGCGCTGTTCTAGGGGCTGGTGGCCAGCGGGAGGAGAACCAGGTCCCTGCCCTCGTGGAGCTTACATCCTGGGGCTGCAGGGGTGTGGAGGAGGTTGGCCCAAACAAATGAACAGAAGTCCTCACAGAATGAGTCAGATCATGATCATGTAGAGAAGAGTCAAGGCGGATAAGGACACAGGGAGTGTCCGTGTGTCGGGGTGTGGAGTTGTGGGCCGTTTTGTACAGGTGGGCAGGGAAGGCCTCACAGATACTGTTAATATCTGAGCAGGGACTGAAGGAAGCGAGAAGAAGAGCTATTTGAACATCAAGAAACAAGTTTGAGAAAGTCACTACCCTGTTTCCTAGTTTGCATTCTGCCCTTCCCTACTAGAGCATCATATCCTCAAGGGCAGGGCATCACTACCCTCTTGGTCTGCTGGAGTGGACAGCTACCCTGTAAATGCCACCCCAGCTGGCTGTCCTGCAGGGAGGGGCAGTCTCTTCAAGGCTAATCCCAGCGGAGAAGAGAACCAGACAGACCTGCCTCCGAAACTCGCCCCTCAATGCAGTTTCTCCTCCTTCCCTAAGGGAGGTGGTAGTATGTTGGGTGGGGAAAGGAGGGCTGGGGAGCCGGCAGGAGGTGGGGCGTGCTGGTCTACTGGGGCAAAGATGGCATGAAGCAATGGATGGTGTTCTCTTCCTCCATCACTGTTATATTTTTAGCACAGTTCCTGGTACATTCTAGGCTCTTAGAAATATTTTATAGTCAACTGATTGATAGCTGTATTAATTAAACCTGAGAAATCATAGAAGAGTTCTTGGTGTGCTGCCCCTGGTACATCAAACTTCAGCCATCTCAGAGCACGAGGCTGGGTTGCTCCATCTCCAGATGACAAATTAGGAACAGGAAGGAGGCCTTGTGCTTTCTATCCACCAAGGCATGAGGAATGAGGGTCTGGGGGCCTCCGACTTGATGGCTGTGTTTAGATAAGGGTTTATCATGTTCAGCTAAATTGCTTTTATTCCTTTTATTTTCTTGTGTGAATCTGTTTTCTGTGTGTGACCACAGTCATCTCTGCCCGGCCTTCAGGAGCCCACCATGTATGCTTAAGTCCCCTGAATGGCTGAGCATCTGCTGTGCGTCGGACCCTAAAGTCACAACTGTAGGGAACACGGATGGGGCAGGTACAGCCCCTGACACCGGGCACCCCTGGTGCTTAGCATCGCCCCGCGTATAGCCTGTCCCATTGCTGAACCTGCTGGATTG